TTGAAGAAAATGATTGAATAAAAATAATACTCCTATTAATACTCCTCTATTATTTAAAAAGATAATTCTCGTTAATTGTTGTTTCTTTATGGAAAATAATTAGCCAGGGTAGGTTGCGGTAGATGTTATGAGAAAATATTGAAATTTTATATCTATTTATATATTGTTGAATTATTTTCGCTTGTGTGAAGCTAATCTATCTGAAATATTTAAAAATATTTCTGTTGTTTGTTCTACTTGGTTGCGCTAAAATGCGCTTGACCGAAACTAAAGCGCAAAATAATTGTAAAAACAACAAGTGTAGCAGCAAAAAAGTCAATAGAAAATCTGTTGAAGTTTTGAAATACATGAAAAGTACGGCAAACTAAAAATGGAAATTACAAAAATTTAATGAGAAAATTTCATGGAGAAAATAGAAAATCTACCGAGTAGGAAAAGGGTTGGCGCTCGCCAGTGTATCTCGAAACGAGTTATTAAAATATTCGCGTATAATTATTGAAATTAAACAAGTTTATTAGCTTGAAGAGGTGGGAAGAGGAGTCAGGCCAGAGACTTTTGCTATTTAAGCAATTTTTCAAGTTGTTTGTTAACTCATTCAATAATTGCAAATTTATACAATATTACAGGGAATTTTTTTTCTACCATATTTGAAGATAGTTAGGAATTCACATAAAATTAAAATTGATTAATTATTAGCTATAAAAAGTTGTTTAGTACGCCAGTGAAGCGTGCCGATGCTACTTATTAGCATCGCAATTTGTTTCTAAAGACGAAAGTAGCAGTTTTTCACTAAAGCTCGAAAAATATTCAAGTATCTAAAGAAGCAAAAACTAATAATTTTTTATTTTATGTAGGGTTATATATCATTGTGGGTTATTTATACATATATATTTATACATATTTATACATATATTAACGTACTATTTTTTAAGTATGTTAACAGCTAATTTTTATAATTTATAACAATTTGTGCTAATATTTACAGTCGCAGTCAAGCCCTTAAATCTTAACGCAATCTGTGCAGTATGAACTCCGTATTTACTTGCAAAAACATTTAAAATTTTATTACTTGTTAACTTTTTGATTTTAAAAATATTGTATACAATAAATTTATTTACATACTCATATTTTTACATATTTATTTAACCGATAGCTGTTGGCAAATATTTTTGCAATAATTAAAATATTTTTACAATTATTTTGCTATTTCTGCATGTCGCACGTGTTCGAGTCAAGTTTATTCGTAAAAGATTAAATTTAATTAGTTAAGAATAATAAATAAATATGTCAGTTTTTTTATATGTTTTAAATTTATTAGTTTTTTTTATAGATAATTTCCTATTTTTCATATTTTTAATTTTAAATTTTCTGTTTGTATTATCATTGTTCAAATAGTGTATAATAAAAATGCATAAAAATTGTTCATAAATAAAATTTAATTTAATTTATTTTTCAAAAATTAAGTTAATCTTTTAGTTTTAGTCATCTAATATAAATAAATTTAGTCATCTAATATAAATTAAATAAATTAATTTCAGAATCGAAATTTTTATAGTATTAGTAGGTCCGACATTATGCTTACTATCATTATTACTATTACCTATTATTACTATTTCTATTAATTCAACTTTCTTCAATTAAGAAAATTTTTTAATTTAATAAAATACTAAATCAACTAATATTAAATAAAATAATTTCAGGATCGAAATTTTTATAGTATTACTGGGGCTTCAAAATAAATTGTAATTTTAAAAATTTTTTACTATTTGGTCAGACATTATGGTTATTATTATTTCTATTAAATCAATTTTCTACAATTAAGATAATTTTTTGATTTAATAATATACTAAATCATCTTGTATTAAATATAATACTTTCAGGATTCAATATTCATCATGATTGTCTTTTAAAAAAAAGTTAGAAATTGAAAAAATTTTTACTAAAGTGATTCAATCAGATATTATTTTTATTATTATATTACTATTTCTTTGCTCCATTCTCTATAATATTTATTACAATAATGTAATTAGACATTATTTTTATAATCATTATATTATTATACTTGTACTCTATTAGAGTTATAGGTTTCATAAAAATAAAATCCAAGTATTTTTATTTCTAACCAGCTGTGTCAGTATGTTAAACGATTTCCCAGACTCTGTCTAAACCTATCTAAGTGGGGAGCACCAAGTGCTAGGATCCATAGATACTTTAATCCTATTTTATCAATGAAGTTTAAAAAAATTTAAGAAATAACTTTTGTTTTTAAGACTTTGTATTGAAAATAAGGTCAATAAGAAAAATTTATAAATGATATTTTATTTTATTCAAGGGTTCACCCATCACCCATAAGTTCACCTATAAGTTCAAGGGCTACCCATCATCACAAAACAAAAAAAAAAAAATAAAAGAAAACTGTTCAAACTAACTGAATTGAACGTTATACTAACTAAATACTATGCTGCACCTAGTCCCATGCGTATTCCATTCAAATGGAACAAGTGTTATTTTATCATATTCTTCATGAATCATACTCGTATAGATTATTCATCTATATTTACATTTCTTTAATTTAGTGTTCAAGTGAGATATTAACTTGATTCGATAGAGGCTAAAGTTTTTCGTAGGATGTGATTATCGGTCACCATTTTTCAAGATGTTATGAAAATATCTGTTCGTGAATGATTGTCTTTATAGAACTGTTAACTTTATACAGGCAATAAAGTTTTAATCATTATTATTATTATGTTATGCAGTTTATTGTTGTGCTATATAGGTTTACTTATGCTATATGAGTTGTCTAATATGGTTTTAGATATCAGTTT